TAACGATTTCCATTAAGAGATGAAACAACAAATGGGCCCCATAAATTGGAACAAACTAAATCTAATGGACCGGATGCTTGATAGGAAGACTCAAGGAAAGGTAACTTGTGAATTTTTCCGACACTACAAACATGACAAAGAGATGTAAAATCTCAAACAAACACATTGATACTAGACTAACGAAGTGTTTTTTGTACTATTTTGAATGACACATTGATACGAGCATACCAAGTAGACAAGGACCTCAAAAGGGTTTGTGGTAAGTCACCTAGAGAATGACTTATTAACATCGAATAAAGCCAATCATTAAGCTTTCTAGTGTGTAAAATTTGCTTTGTGTGGATATCCTTTACCAAAAAAATAAGTAGGAAAGAATTCAAGGGAAACATTTTAGATTTAGTAAAGGCACTAATTGACAGTAAATTGTTAGAAGCTTATGGAACAAGGAGAATATTATCAAATGAAAATTGAGTGTTATTAATGGAAAAGACAAATGAGCCAGTGCAAGTGATAGGAAGAGTTGTACCATTACTAATTGTTACTTTCTCTAGTCTGTTGTACTCAGAATGGATGCCTAATTTGTCCATATCGATCGTTAAATGGTGCGTTGCTCCGATGTCGACAACCTATGATTGTGGTACTTTATGGCTAGACTATTTGGATGCCAAGTTAGACTCATGTTTGGGTGAGTTATTAAAGGTGCGTCTGTCTTGGTGCTGTATGGGTGATGGACATTGGCCAGTATAGTGTCCAATGCCTTTGCAATTAGAGCAAATTTACTAGGCAAAATTGCTTCTATCAGTAGCATGAGATGTGAACTATGATCTCCCATATCCATTGCCTTTGCCTCTACCATGATAACATTCTCGACCACGAGAGGGATTGAACCTATGAGTAGAGAATTATGCCATTGGTGGCACTACCTCTGAATCGTGTTCATGTTGTGCTAATTGCATTTCTTCACTGAGAAGCAAGGAAAATAGGTCATCATATGTAATTGGTTCAAGCTTGGCTTCAATGTTGCATACGAATAGGTGCTACATAGGGAGTAGACCTCGTAGGATATAATCAGCGAGATCGTGTTTTGGGATAGGGTGCTGTAGCATAGCAAGATGATCAAAAAGCTCCTTGGCACATTGTATGTAAGTCAGAATGTCATCATTCGATCGTGATAATTCAATCATGTTTGTGTATAGTTGACGCACTTGTGTTCGAGAACCAGAAGTATAAATGGTTGCAAGTTTGTCCTAAGCCTCGTAAGTGGTGGTCATTCCTACCAAATGTGTAACAAAGTTGCCTGAGAGGGAGCTTATAATCCAGCTAAGGATGATTTGATCCTGTGTATACCAATGAGCATAGGCTAGGTCCATTGCAATAGGTGTGGGAAGGCTGCCTTTAATGTGATGAGCAAGCTTGTACCCACGTAACAGTGGTAAAAGCTGTGTTTTCCACATGAGGTAATTAATCGAAGTGAGCTTAATGGATAATTGGGGAGTGACATTGGGGTAGGGTGTAGGTGCAGGCTGCTGTGTTTGGTGAGAGACAAATGTTTGGTCATGTAGAAGAGACTATTGCTGGATAGTAGCTGGTTCGACCATGGAAGAAGAAAAAGCTTTGTAATTTTAGATCTAGTTGGGTTTTTAAACCTCGTAATGCTCTGATACTAAAAAAGAGTTATTTGTGATCCAAAGATAAATTATGTTTATTAGAGTTCAATACTGACAGAATTTACAAGGATAGATATATTGTTTACAGAGAGTTATATCTATATATAGCTTCTATAGTGCCTAGAGAGAGATATACATTGTTACAGGAGAGATATACATGACAGTGCTATATCCTTATTAGAAATATAGTGGTTTCCTAGCAAAGAGTCCACAGAACCATACATATATTTGCTTCATGTAAATTTGATAGCATGTGCTCACATTATCTATCATTTTTTGCTCTTTGATAACTTAGGGTAAGCACTTATGTAACTAAGCACTGGTTTGATCTTTGAACTCAACAAGATCAATGTAATAGTTGGAAATCCACCCATCAATTATCTTCACCTCTATTTCTCGTTGCCCCACCAACCAATGGGGATCACTTGGACTCGCTCGCTGTATGTCCAAGCAATGAGATCCTGAAGATAGCAGGGACATGCAAGAAAATAATGAAGGACGATATTTTAGTTGAATCAAATCAAAATTTTCAGCAAAAACTATGAATGCAAGGCATGCAGTTAAAATGCTGATTACCATTCACCGTAGAAACCGCAACAATACTATCTGATATGTCCTCCAATACCCTGTAACAAAAGATGGAAGATGATTATAAAATTAGATGATCTTATAATTACTGAAAAAAACAAAACAAAAGATTTTCTATTTATTTACCCGCCACTACTATAAGGATCTCTCTGTCCATTGGAGAAGATAATGTTGCTAGCAAACCTATGAAGAATCAACTTTAAATCCTGCCATTATTTTTAACATTATCAGCAACGACTTGAAAAATCAGAAACAAAACCAAAAGGACAGAGAAAATGTTGGACAATATTGTATCAATATATAGGAACACACATGTCCTCCATAATAAGTTGTGATCCAATGAGGCTGAGGTAGGACACCAAACAAGCTCTTGCACTCTTTGACGAAGTTATTTAGATTGAAAGGCGCTGGTGGGAACATAGAATTTCTCTCATGGCCAATGGGCATCACCAGCTCACTGCACATCTGCACATGTATAGGTAGTCAAAATCAATTCATGTATTTATGGCAAGGAATTTTAGTTCTATAATCTCCTTGTGATCTGGCTAGTCTTAAAAGCTTAAAGTTTAATAGTTTATTAAGAAAAATTGTGGTGAAGTTAATCACCTGCCACCTCCACCCAAAGTATGTTTCGTCTGGATAATTGTATACATTCATGTCATAGCATGATTTGTTTCCCATGTAAGCAACAACACCTGCAAATATTCGGTCAAGAATATCGGTTCTTGCAGCCGATGCTTTGTCTATGCCACCACAGACAATGCTAACTGGATATTCAGGCGGATAATCAAATTGAGCTGCTTCGGAATAAATCGAGTCCAAGAAGTCCTTCAGCTCAAACGTTCTGTTCAAAGGACTGATACAAAAAAACAAAAATTAGTAAAGCTTCAGGTGATTGCTTAGGGACCTTAGCGTATAATCTGGGCTGTTTCCCTCTGGACTTTGGATCTAATTGTAATGAACATAAACTTTTCAGATAGGAAGTCGTACTTACCGACAAGTCCTAAATTTATTGCTGAGGATTGAAATACCATTAGGCTTAGAAGCAATTCTTTCAATTTCACCCCATGATTTACGTATAGTGTCGTAGCAACTCTCACTAGTTTCCTGCATTAATACCATCATAATAGATATAATGATTATTCAGGGTTACTGGCTAGATAGATAGCAAGTAATTAATTAAGTTGAATTAATAGAAATTGAGAGTATTGGTTTTCATACTTTAAAATCCTTGGATACAATAGAATAGTAACCTTCTTGTGGTGCAATATCATCGAAGTACAGAATTGGAGCCGATGAAGCAAGGGCACCAAGAGCAATATGAGGATACTTCAGCCGAAACCATGAGGTTAGCACTGCAGCATTATTAGGAATAATCATAAAAATATTTGAAAAAAAAATCAGGAAATTAATCAATGATATTATTAGTTTGATTATTTTGTATTCACTTACTGCCACCATACGATCCTCCAATAACAATTACAGGAGAATTTTTGGCAGAATATTTTTTCTTTACATGCATAATCACTGCAGCATAATCTGCTATTGCTTGTGCTGAGTTGAAATAACCAAGAGTGCTCGCATTTTTCAAAGCTTCCTTCTTTGACCCAAATGGTATTGATTTCCCATAGTAACGATGCTGCCGAAAATGAAACAGAACTTTCTTGATGTTAAAATTTCATTAGCATGTCTAAGTTAGTTTCACTAATAATTTGTCATCGCCATTATCAACTTTTTGCTGCTTTTTTCTAAGATAATCTGCTTGCTTTTAGAAAAATAAATCATTCACCAAACACTTTTATTTTTAAAAGTTTTACAAAAGAAACGATTCAATTAAGTATAGAGTTAGATAATTGAGATTAGATTTCATTCAGAAGACGTAAACCTTATATTGGCTCACTCACTTTGAAATCTATCAAGTGATATGAGTTTTAAAATTTTTGTTTCATCTAAAAGACTTAAATCTTATGATGGCTCACTCATTTTCAATTTTATATATTAATTATTTAACTTGAGATATGTTATTCAACACTAATTAATAAACACAAAAGTGCCAAAAATATAGCCTTTACAATGTTTAAGAACCATATATATATGCATGATCCACTCAACGAAAGCTCAATGCATGATCAGTGATCTTAATTATCTACTATGAAAATTGGGAAGGGTATAAAAATGCCCTCAAAGATGATGTCTAGACAAATCAACCATTAATTGTTTCATGTCCCACTAGCATACAATATTCTATCTTATAAATCAGGTCTCCTATTTAGAAGCACACAGAAAGTAAAATTTTGCAAATTATCTTCGAGTAAGGGCATCAGCCGACAAGGACCTCCCGTATCTAACACAAAAATTGCATTAAATTTTGCAAATATCATTTAAAAATATTTCAGATTTACTAGTATTTCAATGATTAATAATCCAAGACTCCATACTTCTATTACATGAAAAAAAAAAGAAAAAAAAGCTACTCATGATAAAAATTAATACTGTAGACGTAAAATATAGAGAATGAATGCTTCTTTTTTTTTTTTTTTTTTGTTTTTGAATTTTTAATGAATCGGCTTCATTAATTCGTTAACTCTTTACAATAAAAAATATTTCCCAGGAAAATGAATGCTTTACTTTTTTTGGATTTTTAATGAATCCTCTTCATTCGTGAATTTTTATATGCAATCTAATATTTCTATAAAGCATAAGTTATAAAATCTTGTTCTCATACCATTAGACTATATATCTTACCTCTATGTATACTAATAGGGCTTTGAAATGAGAGGCATTGTCAGTAAGGAACCCGATGTATTCTAAATCGTCATCCATATCTTCTTCTGCACCAAAGAAAACGAATATGGGTGCACTAGTACTTGCACCACCCCAATATTTAAAGTTGATCATATATCTTTGTCGGAAAGTGGTATAACTTTCAGGCTTATAGTTGAAGTGATCAAGTGTTTGGGTGTAATAAAATGTAACCAAATCTTTTGAAGAAGATTTAGATTGGGTTTGTGATGGAGCAATATGTATATTTTTTGGAACTGCACCAAGCCTTGGGATCTTATTTTGCGTTGTAGGGTGGCAAAAAGAAAAGAAAAGTAGGAAGAACATAGAAAGCAGTGTGATCGAGCCCATGGCCTTAAATTTGCGTACTCAAAATATTTGGAGCTAGTTAACTTTGAAGTGCCAAAGCTTGCTCTTGGGACCGATTTATATAGTGGAAGATTTGACATCCAGGAATCAATACAAAACAATAGATGTATGCCAGTCAAAATAGTATTGCCATTTGCCATCATGCGAATCATTACAGACACTATATATACAGCATGTCATGATTAAGAGAATAGGTGCATTAGTATGACAGGTACCAAGAAAAATCACCTACCGAAGAACCCACGAATCTGCATGATACATGTTTTTATCTAAAAGTTTGCATGACGAGCTTGAGATGACATATATCCAATGACGATTAATGGACATACACTTTCTCATTTTAGTATCTTTACTAGTTCTTCTCGGACAAAACATATAAAATTGTTTCAATTTGTAGATTTATGCTACAATGTAAAATATATTGAAATGTAATTTTTTTTTTAAAAAAAAAACCATTCATTTTTATTTTTTTAAATTAAAATTTTATGTTTGACTAATTATTTATTAAATTTTTCATAAATTGTCTGAAAAAAATATGATTTATCTTTATTTATTTGATTATTAAATAAAACTTGTGATAATCTAAAAATAAAATCTAAAACTCTATGGATTTCTAACTAAAAATTTATTTTCTAAATTATTTCTTTTCGAAAAATCTAATACAAATTCTCTAAAAAAATATTTTTAATTTTTATATCATTTAAAAATTCTACGAGTCCATCATATAAATTATATAAATTGATTTTTTAAAAAATAATCATGTTCTAAAATTTTATTTAAAAATCCATACAAAAAGAATAATAAATGATGTTTATCAATAAATAATAGTTAAACAAAAAAAAATTAATTGGATGGCAATCTCTATAAGAAATGACAAATTAAAGAAATAAATTTTAAGTAATAAAAATAATATAATCTAAATTATATTTTTATTTTAAAATATAAAAAAAAATTAGGTATATTTGTTTCTCATTAAACCGCACGAAAAAAAAATTCGATATTTTAGAATATTCACCAAAAAATCTTTAGAAAAAAATTGGAAAAAAAAAATGAAACCCAACTAATAACCAGGCCTACATGCCTGGGCGTGGAGGGGCAAACCCTATTAGGAAAGCTTTTTTTATATATAAAAATAAAAAACTACAATTTCTAGCGAGTTGATGTTTGTCGAAAATTTGTGTTTTTGGTTTCCGGCTTCTCCAAAGCCAAATTCTATCCATTTTTTTTTCAAAAACAACTTAAAATGAAAAAAGTAATGTAAAAAAAAAAATTTAGAGACTCAAAATTCATTTTTTGCAATCCAATAAAATATAAAATTATTAACGAGCTACGTATATTACTTATACTATTTTCATGTAGTCGATGTGAATATAGTGATAGATAAATTATAAATTACTCCCTCTTGTTTTGAGAAATGAATTAATTAGTCATTTTGATTTCGAAAAATAATTATTAATTTTTTTAACTAGTGCTAACGATGGATAATTTATTTTTTATTTTCTAAATTGTCTTATTCTCTCATCAATCTTTTTATATTTTTATGTCTTTTCTATTTCTTAAAAAAAAAAGGTAAAAAATAAAATAAAAATAGTAAAAATGACAAAAAAATAGTTTTTAAAATCAGATGGACTAATTAATTTGTTTCTCTAAGAAAGAGGGACTAATTTATAATTTACTCTTTGAGCCTCCTCTCCTCTCATGGAAATAAGGAGGGAAAAAAAGAAGCAATTATATGAGCATTAAATGCTTCATCATAAAAGAAAGAGAAATGACGAAAAAAAGGCTAAAAGAGAAATAAGAAAGAGAGAATCAGTTAAGTACAAATGTGAATTTTTAAAAATTTATTGAGTGACAATAAGAGTAATTAAATGCAAAAGAGAAGGTCATTTATAATGCAGAGGAAAAGAGAAGGGAAATGATGAAAAAGGCTAAGAAAGAAAATTAAAAAGAGCATCAGTCAAGGATGAATGTGAATTTTCACAAATCCACTAAATGGCAATGAAAGTAATTAAAGAAAAAAAACAAAGGTCTTTTGTAATGCGAAAAAAAAAAAAAAAACTCAATTCACAGTAAAATAATGTGAGTAGATGAAAAGTCAATGAATAAGAAAAACCCATATGTTTTGGTGTTTTTTGTAATAAGGTCAATTATTCCTCAAATTCCATATCTTATATTTGACTTTTCATACATGTTAAAAATGTCACTAATTGATATTTTATATTATAATTTTATATTTATATTTTTTAAAAAAAATATCATTTTTTAACCGTAGATTTCTTTAATTTGGAGTAATAAAACAATCATTTTGAAACAAATAAAAAAAAAGGACAATTTTTTTTTTAAAATAAAGGAGTAACATTTAAAATAATAATAAAAAAAGATTTGAATATCCAAAACTATAAATTATCGTCTACCATCTTCAGGCAATTATGAAATTGTAGCTCGAAGTTAAGAGAACTGGATTAAGATATTCTCCATTTTTTCACGAAGATATGACAAATAATATTAATTAGTTTAATTATTTAGGAGAGAAGTATGAATTGGTATAAAATTCTCCAGTATTTGTACTATTTGTATTGATCTCTATTTATAGACTAGTACATAAAAGGATAGGCTTACACGGTTACAATGAGATAGAAATATACATGGGCTAGATGTCTTCTTATAGTTTCTGTCCATATCAAAGAAGGCTTGGTAGAGTGCACGGCAGCAGCCGTTGGGGAGGACTCTGCAGTGGTAGTTTTGGATAAGTCTTCAGTTGAGGAGGACTCTGCAGTAATCTGTCTTAACAAGTTCAATTCGTACTTAGGGAATTATAATAAATTACCATGTGATTGGCAAATCGAGTTTTCAAATTTTGCTTTAGTGGCTTGTTCACCATTTGCTGTTTTTTTATCCATCATTAGGTTTATAATTGTCAAAAAAACCATCCCAAATGCTTAATTTTTAATTTAAATTAGGAAAAAAAAAATTGGGGTTACAGGGTTTGAATTCTTGATTGTTTTGTCAATAAAATTCTAATAGAATATCAAAAAACTACTTCAACCTAAAGACTTAAATAATTTAGGTGAATTTTTATAATAATTTTATATTATTTTTTAATACATCTTTCAAAGATAAAGAAAAATCTTTTGAATATTAAAATTACTGATACTCATTCTACGTACTTTGTGCTTAATTTTTTTTAGTTAATTAGTTTCTCTAACAATGATATAACTAGATATTAATTTCTCTAACATTTTAACTTCTTCTAATTGAGTACCTTTAATTTCTTTGTACAATATTTGAGTTGGTGATCACATAATTTTCTTATATAATTAAAAAAAAGTCTTTTTCTTATTCAATATTTTAACATCTTTTTATTTTACTAGTGAAAATAGGATAGTCAAGCAAACTAAAGAAAATAAACGAAAATAATTAAGAAATGACACACACACACACACACACACACACACATATATATATATATATATATATATATATATATAAAGAAGAAAGCAAATGAAGAGAGAAGAAAGGTAGACTGTAAGAGAAAAGACAGTTTAGCTTGCAAGAGAAAGAAGAGAGTAAAGTGCGAGTGATGGCATTTTGATATTTTTTTAAGTATTTTTTTTTCTTTTTACTTCTTAATCAATAATACAAGATGGGCCTGATAACAAAGATAAGAAGAAAATATAGAGAAGAAAAAGATGAAGAAGGGAAAGGAGGAGTTTAGTAGAACACATAGTAAATGATGACTTGTTATTATTATTATTATTATTTATTTTTAGAACAAGGATAAAAAGAAAAGGGCTAAGGATGAATGCCTAGAATTAATTTTTCTTTTCTTTTTTTGGCCTGGATGCTTTGTATTCCTCTTACTATATATATATAGTATATGTACATATACATATATATATATATATATATATATTACCTTTAAAGGAGATGCTATCTTATAATCAGTACTATGAGTGCTTTAAAAAAAAAAAAAAAACAAGAGGCTGGTTTTGGTTGAGAAAAACTCTAGCATTTTAAAAATGTTTACTACGCCTATTTTTATCTACTTAAATTAAATCATATGCATTAATTAACTAATTATATTAAAATTGATATAATATCAATAATTATCATTTTAACTTTAATGTGTTAGTCAATTAATATATAAGACTTAAGGAGTGTTTGATAACCTATTTAAGTAGAATAAAAAATTAAGTTGTAGTACTTAATATAAAAAAGTTGTTTGATAATCTAAATAACTCATATTAAAAATTTAAGTTCGAGTCAAAATTTACTTAATCGGATAAGTTAAAATTTTTAACTTATTGCTTTTTAATTGACACGTTCGGTTGAAATATTTTTAAAACTTTTTAAATATAACTATATCGCCTTTATATATTTTTATAACTTTGAATACACAAGCCAACTGAAAAACAATCTCTACTATCCTTATTGTTAAAACAGAGGAAACCTTCTTTATTATGGGTACTATCATCTCGGAATTTGAAACACCAATTAATGTTATCTTAAACCATATTTAATTTTAATTAATAATCATTTTTATATAATTTTTATTTATTTATTTGTACACGAGTAAAACATCTATGTATATATTTTTATTTATGTTAAAAAAATATCATGTTATAATTATAAAGTTAAAATTATCATGTATATAGCCTTAATATGTTCGAGTAATAATACTTATTAAACAAGTTAATTATATACAACACTTAATTTTCAATAAATATCAAACGAGTTTATTTGAAACATATTCAACACTTAATTATTCAATACTTAATAGATTTAGTCTTAAATTTTTAATTTTATCAAACATTATATTTTAAGTATATGAAAAATTAAATATTTTTTAAATAATATCCTTTTTTTTTTTCTGGGCGACACCCCTGCCTTTCTTTTGAAGCCTTTGTCGATGTTAGTCGCCAATGGTAAATGGATCTAATTATTATTATTATTATTATTATTATTATTATTATTCTGCATTTTCCCTTAATTTTATCATGAGTAATTCAGTATCATGCATTAAAAATGGTCAAAAAGTTAAACAGCCGCTGTCTTAACTTTCTTGGGAATGCTGATTAGTGGGCCTCTGTATTTGTTGCATGATTACAAGGAATCAATTTCCCATCTAGTGGACGATTATGGGGCGAAATGTTCACCGAATGTTGCAACAATTAGCTTAGTGCCCCCTCTTTTTATTAGTTAACCAAAGGTTTACTTTTATTTTATGTGTCTGAATTATACGAAATCTATCCATTTCTATTCAAATAGTTATTCTTTGTAAATTACTCTTTTGATGTTTCAACCACGTATCAATAAAACCTTTTCGTCCATTACTGTTAACAAAATTAATGAAAAATAACTTCTTGTTATGTTAACTTTAATTACACATGTCCACAAGAGTCCGGACACGAGCGAGTTACCACCTAGCAATCAAAAGAATTAAAAAACTTTAAACATAACTGATCTATATAAATATCTAGATAAAAAATTGATTACGAGTGGACTGCCACCATGTCCTACTTGAAGTAAATTATATTGTATACATATGAAAACTAAAACATTGTCTTACTATGTTATACATATATGTTCACTTGAGTGAATTTGTTTTGTTGAGATAAATTGATCGAGTAATTTAGGATTTCGGTCGATCAAAGGCTTATAATCATACTTTAAGAAGAAAAAAAGGGTAGAGATTGAAATTTTAACTAACCTCTAGCGATTGCAAACTTGTATAAGTAAATAACAAGCCTTTTGAGAGTAGAAACCCAATTGATCCAAACAAAAAAGTCATTGATAATTTTATCCATATAAATCCGAAGTCGCCAACAACTTTGATTATGAATTTAAGAAGCCATTGATAATTTTGGTTCACAAAATTAGAAAGCCATTGATGACTTTATCACGGAAGTGAGAAGCCACCGACAACTTCGGTTCACATAATTAGCAAGCCCCCGACAACTTCATCCACACAAATGAAAAGTGACAATCAACTTCGATTCACAAAGATAGGAAGCCACCAAAACTTCATCTATAAAAGTGGAAAGATGCCGATAACTTTAGTTCATAAAATTAGGAAGTCATCGGCAACTTTGTCACATAAGTGGAAAGTCACCAACACCTTCGATTCATAAAATTAGAAAGTCATCGACGACTTCATCCACACAAGTCGAAAGTCATCAAAAACTTTAATTTACAAAATTATAAAGCCATTGACAACTTCAACTACATAAGTGTGAAGTTATCATCGACTTCAAATCACATTATTATGAAGCTATTGATAACTTCATCCACACAACTGAAAATCCATCGACAACTTCGATTCATAAAAATAGAAAACCACTAACAACTTCATCCACATAAGTAGAAAGTTGCTATCGACTTTAAATCACATCATTAGGAAGTCATCAATAAGTTCATCAATATAAGTAGGAAGCCATTGATAACTTTTTCCATACAAGTAAAAAGCTATTGTCGACTTCAAATCACATTATTAAAAAGCCTACCAGCGAGCTTCATCCATAAAAGTGAGAAGCCATCGACAACTTTAATTTATGAAATTTTGAGGCTATTGACAACTTCACCCACAATGCATTAAAAACAAATGGAATTACGATAAGGAGATTATTTAGCTTTGGAAATAATAGGTGATTCCTCATCAAACTAGTTATTTAATTCCTTTCCTATAATGGTCTTACGGACTAGCTGGTCAACATTAAAAATACTCTCAAGTGTGTTGGCAAAAAAATTGTGAAAGCATTATGATTTACGAGCTATCAAGCACTCATCCGGACTATATGAATTTGTTTTTAGCATCAGCTTTTTCTACATCCAAAATATTCACTACCATATCATATGATAGTTGAATCAAACCGAGATCATTATCGCATGGATCAATAACATATTAAGGCATCTTTGACTTCTTTTCCTTTCTTTCTATCATTAAGATGCATAAAGTTAGCATGGTTTTCACCTCTTACGGAAATTCATGGTAATCATCAAGATCATTTCCACTCTCTCTGTTAAACTTGTATAAGTACTTGGCATAAATAAGAGCTTAAGACTTAGCTAATTTTTTTCTTAACATTGACATCAAATAATATATCAAATAAATAAGACATGAAAATTTTCAAAACTGTTTTTTTTTTTTTTTGTCATACCCAATGTCATCTAATGATAATATATTCATCCCACCGATAGTAGCATAGTTGAAAAGATGATTATTATTCATATTTGAAATACTTAGAGTATCCTCAAATGAAGTCAAGCCTTAGTCAATCAATAAGCAAATGTACTTCTTAAAGTCTAGACAATGTTTGATATTATGACCAATTATGTTATCATGATACTCACGAGGATTCATCGAGGTTATATTACTTAGAAAATAAAGGTTGTTGTGGAATGTCATCACATGAATTACTTGGTCTATAACCACAAGATGTTAGAATAAGTTTCCAAGAAAAATTGAGACAGATGGTAATATTTCTTTATATTTTCTCCAACTTCGTATTTTTTTAGCTATCTTGATTGATCTTTATTGATGGTTGAGCTCCCGAGGATGCTTTGCTTGATAATTTTAAAAAAAAGTACATGACAAATAAAAATGATTCAAACGACTCCTTAAATTGAAGGTAGATTCCATAATCTAGTGAACACTGGTGCCATTTCTTTCACCAAAGTTATTCTTCTTAGATCCAGATTAAAAAAATCGAGTTATTCATCTAGTCTTTATTGCTTGCTCAATCTTAGTAGCCATAGAATAATATCAACAAAGACATTTGATCAAT